AAAACCTTGCCACACAAACCCAATACAGTGACAAAAGCTGGTATGAAGTGTAGAAATATGCCTCCTGCGTATTAAGTAAACAGACTTATCTGCTTCTTTTTTCCAGTTATAGTTACAGGAAGAACATATCCCTTTCAGGCTCTGGGAAGGAAGATACATATAATTTCTCATGGAAGGTTTTAGGAAATGGTTAAAGAATTTCATGGAAGGCTCTGTAAGGTCTCAGTATATGGTTAAAGTTGTTTTTCCCTTTACTCTGCATCACACTGATACATCTTCTAATGAGAGATGCAGCTGCAACATATTTCTTTTCTCAGTCATTGCTAACAAAACCCTAATTCATAAATGATGCTGAACATGTGCTGCAGGGCTTACTGCTGCTTTGTTTGCCCTGATTTCATTTCTTCAAGGTCTATGGGCTACCATTAGTGGCTCTTAATTTTCTTCTCAAGCTGTAGGTATAAGATGCTGTTAGTAAGGATTTTCATTCAGTTGTTTTACATAAGGTAGGGTGATGGGGTGCTTTATGACTTGAAATAAGAAAAACATTGACAGAAGGATTAGGAGGTGTTGAGGGGTGTGTGTGTTGGGGATAGGGCTTGGGCTAGGAACATGATCTGTTAGTAGATGCTACAGTCCTCCTGATGTGAATGAAAAAACCTAGTGTAACTTACCAAGGAAAATCAATTGCAGATACGTGCATTTTCCTTTTCAACTACTTAATTTGTGCTTAAATTAAAAAAAAAAAAAAATCCACAATTTTTAAAATCCGTGTTCTGTGTTGATCTAAGTGGAAAGCCTAATATTGCATATATTTATACATTTAGGAAGAAAAACTTCTGAAGTTTGTAAAAATAAACTCCTCTAGAGTTTGTAGCACTTTCAACTGTCCACAGCATGTAAAGTTCAGCTTTTTAAGAAAATGCTTCACTCAACTTTTTGTAGGGAATAGGAAGAAGGAAAGTTTCTACGACTGTTGAACGCAACTTAAATTTCATATTCTCTTTTTCTTAGGTTGGCTGAAGACTTTTGATGATTACTTCAGAGATCAGACACAGCATATTTTAAATAATATGGTTATAAAACTGCAAGAAGACAACCGAAGGAAATTTATATGGTCTGAGATATCTTACTTTTCAAAATGGTGGGATGGAATAGATAACCAAAAAAAGGATGCTGTTAAAAGGTTCGAACACTGAACACTATTTCTTATCTTCCATGTGACATGTTCTTAGACTTTGTCTATTTGACTACACTGTAAACTTTAGATTTCACTTGTGATGCAGAATTGCTAGAATAATCAACTACTTAAGTTCTGATTTTTTGGCCCTAGTTTTTTTTTTCCAGTTGCAAAATAAAAATCCACTTAGAGAAGTGAAGCCAAATCACTGAGTTGCTGAAAAAAATTACTAAAAATTTCTATGTACAACGAAGAAGATACTGTTCAAATTATAGTGGAGTTGGAATTCTAAACTTTATTTGAAGTCACATTGAAGCAGTGGCAATAGACTAAAAATAATCTTACATATTAGCTGTTTATATGTGGTAATTTTTTGTTCAGTTGTAACAATTATGAAATGAGATTTTTTTTGTTTTAAATATGTGTATTTTTTATAAAGACTCAGCTGCTTGAATGGTAAAGTAGTACATATTCTACACCCTTGCTTTTTTTAGTTCTGTTTGAAATCAAGTGAAAATGTAATACAGAAGTAAAAGGTTTGCCTAGACTTTGAGGCAAGAAAGCGTGCTGCTTGGATACACTTGAAGTAAGGGTTTATAGTGTTCAAAAGGTGGTTTTTTTTTGTTTGTTTTGTTTTGTTTTCCACTTTGCTTTAAGACGTAATCCAACAGTTCTTAGCTCATCTCTATGATGCCTTCTTCTCATGCCCCCCTTCAAGATGCATGGGTTGCACTTTACATTAAGGCTCTGAGAGCCTCACAATTACAAAGGTTAGGTAATGTTGGAAATCGTGGGAATCACTACTATAAATACATAAAAAACTACATATTTAAAAATATATGTACAATGCATTAGTATTACAGCACAGCTGTTGTTTTTTGAGATTAAAAAGATCCCTTGGAACACAGTGAACAGTAAACAGTAGTCACCAGGGAACTGTTTCCTTTTTTCAGGGGTAATCGGGTGTTGGTTAAGCTGCTGTAAAACTTACAGAAGCTGCACTGAAGATTATTTTGGCTGTATGTTTTTCATTACTGTTATGGGTGTTATCTATAATGTGACTTAAGTTTTGATAAGTTTACTGTATTTATTTCTTGAATTCGTGAAACATTTATATGCTAATGTACAATATACGTGCTGAAATTACTATATTTAACTGTAGGGACCACCTGATGCTGGAAGCACGATCGTTGTGTTCACTGACATCTTAATAGAGAGACTGGATCATCCTGTGATCTGTTTCAAGAAGGCGTTTTAGTGAATGAGGTGGTCTGAAGCCTATAGATACAATAAACTTCAAAGCTCCGTAAGGTCTCTCAAACAATAGAAAGGACAGTAGATCAAAGATGGGAAGATAGTAGTGCTTCAAATGTGCAGTGTCTAGGCACCTCACTCAATTGACCTTCAGTACTGTGGTACATACAGTTTTATCTTTGTAATCAATGCAGGAGATAGCCTTCTTCCTGATTTAAAAAAAAATAAATATTATGGCACATGCAGTAGAGCTGGTAGTTTTTGTTGCACAGAGGCATTAAAAATTTCGCTGTTCATCTATTCATTCTTTCCCCATTTGATTAAAGAAATTTAGTCCAGTGTTGGAAATAGGGCAAGCAATGTCAATTTTGGCATCATGACCCTGATAAATACCTATTGGGTATTCAGAAATTGATTTTTAAGAGTGTATTTTCAATTGCAAGATTATGAACACAATTTCTATATTTTTCAGGTTAATAAAAGATGGACAATTTGAAATAGTAACAGGAGGATGGGTTATGCCTGATGAAGCCTCTCCTCACTATTTTGCTTTAATTGACCAACTGATAGAAGGACATCAATGGCTAGAAAAGAACCTTGGTATGTAGCTTGATCTAAAATTTGATTGTGTTAATACAGGAAATAAATTAGAATTTTTTTTTTTTCTAAGGTGCTTAGAAGACTCTCTTTACTCTGCTTTCCTAAAGCATTAAATCAGACCCCTTACTGGAAGCTATGAGATTGAGTCTGGTATTTGCAATTACTCTTTGCAGATAGGGGTTCCCGGAGGAAATATATTTAAAAAATTTGGTGTCATAACATTTTGTCTTGACTAGTGGAAGTTGTGCATAGTATATCAGCATAGTAAAATATAACAGTAGATCACACTCAACTGTAGATCACATGGCTCTGGTATCACAAACATTTCCCAGTTGCCATTTGTTTTTTTGAAAATCATGACAAAGGCCTTAAAATGACTTTAAAATTTATATTCTGTTCATGTGTCTGGATCTATTCTGCAGGCTGTGTATTCATTAGGTTCTCTTATATAAGGCTTTCAAAAGAGTAAATATGAAATTTAGTAGTAGTTATTACAGCAGTACTCATAGTTATAAAACCTAAACCCATTGTAATAGTAGAATTGTTCATATTAAAAAAAAAAAAAAGGCCTGCTTTTGAAACTTTGAGGAATTACTGACTGCAGTAATGTTGGCTAAACTATTTTGGTGGTTTTGAGAGGGGTTTTTTGTTTAGTTTTAGAAGTAGAGATAATGTTCCATAAGCAGAGATAACGCTTTTTATATAGAAAATATTTGTACGGTGATTTTAATAATAATAAGTTAACTTCACTTCACTCAATTAACTTAAATTATTTTGAAAAGCTGTTTCAGTATGTTTTTCTTAGATTGCAATTTCCATTAACACAGCTTGACATAATTAAGAGATGGAGCAGAGGAAAGGCTTATAAAAGTGTAATGCATTCTCTGCTGTTTTTTTGGTAAGACAGTAAAAACGTGCCCAAGGAACCATGTTGAAGAATCAGTTAAACTAGAGTTAGACATGGCTTCTTTATTTGATAGTATGAAATTCAGTGAAAAGATGGGATTAATCAACATGAGTTCCAAAGCCAACAAAAGTTAACATTTAAATTACAGTGAAAATTCAACAAGCTACAACATCAATCTACCTCCATCCATTCATTTTCCTTCTGCTTGTCTTTCCAATTGTAACATCTGTAAATAAAGTGAAAAATGAGATGTTTTTCATTATGGTTCCATGTAAAGATGTTTGAAACACAACTGATGTAGTATAACAATGTATAGTAGTAATCTCAGGTTTTTTTTTGTTGTTGTTGTTAATTGTTTATCTGTTTAATTCAAGCTTGTTAATTCCAGGGTGTGTTCTGCAGGAGGCCTAATAGCTATGTATTTGTATTTCTTCTTGGAAATTTTATCTTCAGTGCTCTGATTTCAGTTATGTTAATGTAACTTTGAGTGAGAAATGAAACATTCTTTCCTCTTCACTTTTTTATTTTGTCAACAGGAGTAAAACCAAAGTCTGGTTGGGCAATTGATCCTTTTGGGCATTCACCAACAATGGCTTACCTTCTGAAACGCACAGGATTTTCCAGTATGCTTATACAGAGAGTTCATTACTCAGTTAAAAAACATTTTGCAATGCAGAAGACACTAGAATTTTTTTGGAGACAGAACTGGGGTATGTGTTTTTTCTTTATGTCAATTTATTTGTTAACTTATACAGGTGAAATTTGGAGAGAACTTGGAATACTATGGAAATCTTTACAAAACAGGTTATTTAGAGAAGTTAGCTGAGACTTTAAAATTTTAGACTTGCAATTTTGTTAAAAATAAAGAAGTCTTTCACCTAAGTTAAGGGGTTTTTAATTTTGTTTTTAATAACAGAAATGGAATGTGAGTACCTGTGTCTTAGGAAGGGGGTTAAATATAAAACCTGTATTGTTGCTGTTGTTCCTCTGAGCTTCCTGTTTCTTAACTTTCATTTGTGCTTTTACTTCCTTGTATTTCCCTTCTCCCACATTCCTTACAAGTATGTATAAAAAAAGTAAATGACTGGAATATTATTTTTCCTTTTCTCACTTCTTTTTTCACACTTCTTCTCACTTCTCTGCTCCTACTATGTGGACATAAAGTGGGGGAGAAGGAACACTTATCTTGGAGAGAGAGGGGGGGAAAAAAGGCCAAACTTGAAGATTTAAAGATGGAGAGATCTTTCAAGCAACCAGTTTTCCTTAGCTGATGTGACATATTAGTATCATTAATTACAGTAGCTTTCTCCGGACTTGAAATTTGTAGGTTATCTTTAGTCAAAAAAATAGAATGAAAACATTTCACTGTTTTAATTTGTAATGAAATTCTCATCTAAAACATTATTCTTAGAATAAATATAATTGCTTTTTTACATCCTTTGTACAATATAGAGTATGAAAGTTTTCTTAGGTAATGTAGTGATTATACCTTAGCAAACTGATGTGTCTGTAGATGAATGGACTTTTCTGCATGAATATTTTGTTTTGCTTTGTGCTGTACCAGCATTCCTGTAAGTTGTATGATGAATGTATGTAGTTGAGGTTTTGATCTTTCTGTTTTTTAAAGTAAGCTAATATGTCACTGCTTTATCAATACAGGGTCAAAAAAACAATTTTAGTGCTTGCTATTGAAAGGCAGTGGTGATTTTGCAGCTTTTTATTTCCTGTGTTTTTAATTGGAAATTGTAGGAAGGAGAGTATTCAGAGAAAACAATCTACTGCACAAATAAACTTGACTTGAGGAAAGTATATCACTGTGAAAGAATTTGTCAGCTACTGACTCTTAAGAGATTTTTCTTTGAACGTTGGTGTGTGCCACTTAGTGTTCAGAATATTTAGTTGACGGTCCTTTTTCCTAAACAGTTGCATACATAAATCACATGTGTGATATGGTCTAGTGTTTGGGCTTCAAAAGAAGACCTTTCAAAACCGGCCACATATCAGAAGATCACTGCACACTCATCTGGCATAGTATATAGTCATGGTACTTGAGATAAAGAGAACTCCTGTATTTGAAAAGTAAATGCATATATATATATGGACTATTACCTTTTAATTAATAAGTAAGTAGTAGTAAAATACAAGTTTTTAAACAAAAGGTCTGGATTGGAACTGTGAAGACTGAGGCTGTTAAGGTTTTGAAGAGTACTTGCATATGTATTGTTGACATACTTAGGACTCAGGTTCTGTGTACATCTACAGCATTCATCCATTTTTTTCCAGCATAAAATTACTGTAAGTCGTTAGTGCTGAAACAGTTTTTAGGCATTTTACGAGATAAGTAAACTTAAGGTTTTCTTAAGTTCTGTGGGAACTTCAGGTTCTCTTTAAAGTTAAATTTTGAAAGACCTCTTTTGAGACTGGACAAAATGTGTGTAGATCTCTGCTCCTGATGAGTTAAACTTTAGAGAATGTGGTGACTATATTGAAAAATTAGGATTGCAAAGATGGTGTCAGAAGTGCATAGAATTCTATGTAATTCAATGTGCAAGCACATAGAATCTATCATTAACAGTACAATTCTATTATACTGTTAATGTATTGAAGTTATGTGTTCAAGAAATTAAGATATTGATAAAGCCAACCAGTTCAAATCATGTGCTAGTGAGGTAATGACAGAAGAGTGGTTGTTTCTTGGTTTGGTCTTCTTGTTTTTGGCGCCCTCCTCCCCCCCACTTTTTGTTGTTGGTTTTGATTCCCTCAAAATATAGAAGATGTGTTTTATTAAACTCTCCAGTTCTGGAAATAATGAGATTTGTCTGGGTAAAAAAACCCTAACATTTTGTTCCTATCTTTCCCAGTCAGCTGGTGCTTGATTGGAATGTTCCAATTTTGGTTGCATTTCTGGTTTTAGCCTCTTTATATGTAAGATACAAAGAAAGGTAGACTGCAGGTATGGATATTCAGAGCAAGGAATTGTCCTAATACAATGTTTTTAATACAATTCTTGGATTAAGAACATGGCACTAATTTAGTTTTGGCAAATCTGAGAGGATTTATTTTAAAGGTGTGCTCTATGTATTTAATTCCAGATTTTGGATCCAGTACAGATATCCTTTGTCATATGATGCCTTTCTATAGCTATGATGTTCCTCATACTTGTGGTCCAGATCCAAAAATCTGCTGCCAGTTTGATTTCAAACGTCTTCCTGGAGGAAGAGTAAGCTGTCCATGGAGAGTTCCACCAGAAGCCATTCATGCTGGAAATGTTCAGCACAGGTACAATTCTTACATATTCTTCAAGGGAATAACTTTTTTAAAAAAATGTACTGGTCAAAGATGATATCTGGCATAGCTTGGTGAATTTATATATCTCTTAAAATAAACTTGTCATGGGAAAATAATACCTATTACTTACCCTAGTGTTTGCTCATAAGTTCAGAACATGAGTGTTAGTGAAATTTGAAGATAGGTTATAATTAAGGAAGATGCATTAAACTTCTTTCTTTTCCATTCATGATACATTACTATTTCTGAATGCTAGGCAGAACATAGTCATCTATTTGATTACAGTCATGTTACTGATTTGCTCTAGTTTTTGCAAATTATATGAATAGACAGTGATCTGTCTCCTGACAGTGGAAGATTTCGGGGACAGTATGGTGTCGTATGCTGTAACTGCAAATGGGGAGATATTTTCCATGGTATATCCTTTCAAAACTTGTCAATCAGTGGTCTAGGTTTCCTGAAGTGGACACTTTAAATTAATCCGAGTCTTATGTCTTTTATGTCTGGACAGGGTGGAAAACTTTAATTTTCAAATAGAAACATTGACTTGTTTTGCCAAGGGTAAGAATTAAGTTTATGGTTTTGCAAAACTACTTCTCAATTCTGGGAGGAAGGGGAAAAAAAAAGGAAAAAAAAGGGGGAAAAAAAAGTTAAAAAAAAGAAGGGGAAGATAGAACTGCTGGAGATTTTTCCAGAAAAAAATATTGTATTCTATGGTCATGTTACTATATTCAGGCCTTCAAACCATCCCCAAGTTCAAGAGTTAGAAATTTAGGTAGGTGTTTACAATTGTTGCAAATTGCTAAGTATAACAAATGTATTAAAGCTAGCAGAGTGACTTTTTGATTCTAGTCTTGGTGCTGAAGTTTTGAAGTGATCATGTGATGATGCATTGGTTGTCTACATGTCAAGTCTGCATGTCTTTTTTCTGAGGATTAATTTTGCCAAGTATCTTGAAAACTTCACTTTGTCAGTAAAATTCAATTTCAAAATTTTGTTGAAGATAAAACGAAAATAAAAAAGAATACATCACAATTGTCATATTTTAAGATAGCCATTGGAATGATGACAGAAAGAAAGTCATTTTCTTTAAAAGCAGGAAAAAATGAAACCTGAAGGTGTCAGAGGACAGTAGAGCTATAGAAGAATCATTATGACACACTCATTGCTTATCAAATGTGAAGGAATTCTTGTGTCTTTAAATCAAAGTTGTAAAAAGAAAAATCTTGATTATGTATCCTAATTAGTTGAAACAGATATTTGTAGAAAAGTAACAGATTGTTTAACAAATACATATAAATATAATTTAGAGAGCCTGCTCAGAATGCTTTTTAAGCTTTTTGTTTTTTCATTAGATCTTAATTATTCCTGCACTTCCAAGATGAAACCTTTGCATAACAGTCTAAGTTAGACCTTGTAAAATAAATGGTTCTTTCACCATGTCATATAAAATCAAAGAATAAAAGAAATGTAGTAGGCATGTAATGAACATATGATCAAGTTAAAGAGATTGTCTCAGTGTCGTCTCTGAAATAATTTTTTCATCAGCTTTTGGGAGATAAGAACAATTTTGGGGTTGAACAGGGGGGTGAAACAGCAGTGTGGTAGATAACACCTAAGGGAAAAGTAGAACTATCACATGGTCTTTGAGTTGGGAGCCTGGATTATTTACATTTGGAACACTGGAAGGAACACAGGAACCATAATTGAGGGTGTAGTTTCAGATAAATCCATAAAATATGGGAAGCAGTGTTTCGCTGGTGAATGCTAAAAACAATACTCATATATGAATAAAAAAAGTTGGAGTATTGAAAGCAACCAAAAACTTATCTGCTCTGACCTCTGTGACAAAACAAGTTTTACAGTTGTTATGATGAAGAGATGCAGAGTATCCAGAAGTAAGTGGAAAATCTATCTTTACGTCATAGGCTTTCCAAGGTTAGTTTGTAGCACACTAATTAATCTGTCTCTCATCTCTGTTTGGTTTGTTTTTTAAGACTGGAAAAATACAGGAGATCTACACTGAAAGATCTATGGATCTGAAAAAAGTATTTGATACACACTTGATTATTTTAGAGGCAAGGTTTAGATCTCTGACTTTTCTTCAACGCTAAAGCTGCAACAAAAATAATAAAATACAGATCTTGAATACTCAACTGGGACTGTTCTTTTGATTTCAATACTGTTATGGCTGTACATATACACTGAAGAGATACTGAATTGAAAACTTAGGACTAGTAGCTGTTGGATTTATCATTGCCTTGCCACTTTAGTTGTAATTTGGTAGGAAGGAATGAAACAGCAGCCTAATTAAAAGCCTATGCTTGTTTAATTACACTTCATAACAGTTTAAGTTGTAAAGGTTGCTGTTGGACTTGCCCTGTTTTGCAGCTGCGTTTTTATCCATATGTTTGAATGCTGAAGTTATAGCTTTTCACAGTAGCAAGAGAAAACAACTGTTGGGTTTTTTTTCCTTGAATGGAAACGACTTGTTTTGTTGGAGGAAGCATAGCTTGTTTTGGTGTATGTCTCTGTCATGCATGGAAATAGGAATGAATCTGTACTGCAAGCTATATATTTCAAAGAAGGAACAGAAAATGCACTTTCCCCTTCACCTTCTACTGTTCCAGAGCCTGATTTTAACCCTTCAGCTTTTTTCTCTTTATGGTTGGTCACATTGCATGACATGCAACTGGCATTCAGAATTACATTACTGACGTGCATTGATGATTAGTTTGTGATTGCCGATCTCAAGAATCTGAAATCGCCCTCTTAAGAAGTACTCACCCTGTCTGCATAGCCATCTCCTCCCCAAAATTACCTGAACAGAAAATCGCTAACCCACCAAATGGTTGTTTTTGGTTTTGGTTTTTTTTAAAAAAAAACTATTAAAATGGTGTTGCTGCTGATACGCTATATCCATATTTACAGTATTACAAAAAATTTATGATGACTGGTCTCTTTGGCTTTTAAACTTTTATTCAGGTGGGCAGGATAAACATATCAAAATGTATCTAATACTGTCTTGCTGGGGAATCAGAATGGGAAAGCATTGGTGAGACTCAGTGGGATCTTTTTTTTTTTTCCCCTCCAGAAATATTTTTAATCTTTAGCAAATTCTGTCTGGGGGTTTCCTTTCTTACTCCCATATGAAATAGTGATTTAGGAAGTTATTTGAGAGAAGCTTAAGAGAATATATCTGACTTTAGACATCTAATTTTTCTTTGGTGTTTTTGCAATTGAAACTAGTTTGTGACGGAGGAAGATCTTGCTGCCCCCTTAAAACTGGCTAATAATCCTACAGTTATGAGTACTTTGAAGAAAGAAAGAACAGCAATACTGATGAATTTTGCAGTAGATTTGGGAAGAAACTAGAGGAGGACTTTGGCGAGAGATGTCAAAGTCAATATCCTGTTAACTGTAACCTTTCCTGAAATCCTGTATTCTTCAAGAGGCTCTAAAATAATGTGTGTTTCCAAATACAGGCTGCGTATCGAAAATTTGAGTAAGGCTGGCTTCTTAGAAGGTGTCATTACAAAATCTTGTGGTGTTCTAATTTTTCTGTTAGTTGGGTGGAGAGGAAATCTTTATGTTTAAATCTGCAACCTGTTGAAAGTCGTGGAAAACACTGATTCAAGTATAAATACTTGTTAATCTGAAGTGTAAATCAAACTATAGACAGAGACAGGGGGAAGCCACTAGTTGTGTCTATTGTAGTCCCAGCAGAACTATGTATATACTTAACTAAATACATTGTTGTGCCTTCTTTCTCCCTCCAGAATAAAGTCAGATCTTGTGTTTACTCAATACTTTTATAATCTGATAAACAAAAACCCCTTGTCTTGCTGGTCAAAGAAATATGGTTTCAAATATATTGGACTAGATTCAATTCTCACAAAAAATGTTTATGTGACAAATCTTCAAGTATATGAATTGAAAGTAGATTTTGATAGACCATGTATTAAAAAGACTTGCAGAAACATATAGCTCACTGGAATCTGGATTTTACTGCTATTTTATGTTTAAAACTTTGTTATTTTTATTTCTGCTTTCTTAAACATGTTACTATGGTTTATGCTCCCTTCTAAAATTATTTCCGTAACTTTAATTAGAGAGGATCAGTGTCGGAAGATTTTGGTAGTGTTTGTGGTTGGGAGGGAGGGAAATGGACCTTTTCAGTAACCCAATGTGGTGGTTTGGGTGGATTCACCCTTTTGCTTGCAGCTTGCAGCCAAACACAGCCTGCTCTATCACCCTCCCCCCCTCTCGCCCAGGGAGCAGGGGAGAGAATTTGGAAAGAAGGGCAAGGAAACTCACGGGTTGAGATAAAAATTATTTACTAATTAAAAGAAAATGATAATGATAACAACAGTGATAACAGACTATACAAATGAGTGATACACAGTGCTCACTGCCCGCTGACCAATTCCCAGCCTGTGCCAGCTAACGACCCCGGAGCCGAGACGGTCCCGAACCGAAACCCCGGAAGAGTGAGCCCGAGCGATCCCCGAGAGAATGTCTCCCGTCTTCCGGTCACCCCTGGTTAATATACTGACATGACATGATATGATATGGAATATTTCATTGGCACAACCAGATGCAGTTTTGGGTTTTGCTATTCACTGCGCTTCCCCCTCCCAGTCCTGGTGCAGCTGTGAAACAGACAAACACTGTGGCCTTGAGCTGCAGTAACTAAAAACATTGGTATTTTATCAACGTTCTTCTCATGATAAGTCTGAACTGAAACACTGAAAGTAAAATACTACTCTTCTAATTACTAAAAAGAAAGAAAATTAACTCTATCCTAGCAAAACCAGGACACCCAAACATCAGACTTCTGATTTCTAATACTTTCATGCTTAATGACGGAACTGATATTTTACCCTGCAAAGAGTTAGTAGTTGCCAAAGGATAATTTTACTGACTTTTTGCTGTGCATGCATGTGTTGTTGGTTTTTGGTTTGGTTTTTTTTTTTTTTTGAAGACCAAAAGCAGAAAAGCACTGGGTTTAATTTTTCAGGACACATGCTTAAAGCTTAAGAGGGCTGTCTCTAAGACAGGTAATAAGTTGGCTGAAAGGGGAACAGTGATTGTTGGTAGTGAACTTCCTCCAGAAATTTTGGGGTTTTTTTTAAGGCTGGAGTTCCTCAAAGATTAATTTAGGAGCAATTTTCCTGTCAGGGACATGAAGATATGATGCAAAGTATCCAAGGGAATTACCAGAGGAGATGAGAAGAACTTGCTTATTATTGTAAATAAGGGCTGGAGAGGATTAGGATTGTTATCTAAATATAAAGCAGGTAAACATAATTTAAACTGAAGGTTAGTTTTGGCACAGGAACAAATTGATGCAGGCTGACCTACTGTTTGAGATGGAGCTTGATAAGCTTGTTGGAGGATTTAATTAGCATAGTGTTTGCAACAATAGTAGGTTGAATGTAGTGTGCTAGTGGTGAGAATTGCATTCAGCTTTTTGTTACAAAATGAGGTAGCAGAGTTTTGTATGTCTTGTTTAGGGTCACCCTAATGCACAACTTGATATCTAAGAATTGTTTAATCAAATGCTTACCTTTACTCTTCTGTTTTCTAAATTGCTTTTTTTTTTTTTTCTCCCCTCAAGGGCTTGGATGATTTTAGATCAATACAGAAAGAAGTCAAAGCTTTTCCGTACTAAAGTTCTGTTGGCTCCATTAGGGGATGATTTCCGCTATGCTGAGAGCTCAGAATGGGATCAGCAGTACCAGAATTATCAGAAGCTGTTTGATTATATGAATTCTCATCCTGAATGGCATGTTAAGGTAAATACAATGCTTTTTCTGGTTTGTGGAGGAAACAGTATTTCTCAGTATTTTGAGATTCTTCACAGAAAGACATTGTGGTTTTCAGTTTTAACTGTGGAGCTTTATATAGCATTTCACAGCAGATTGGTTTGTCTTGGCAGATTACATTTTTTTACCTTTACCACCTCCTTTCCCTTGAAAACAAAAACTTTGCTATTAATAATATCTTCTTGGAAACTGTAAATAGTATTCAAACTAGATTATTTTAGAGAATAACTATTAGGTTTAGTTGTTTTTTTAGTAGTCTTGTTTTCACAGGCTTCAGGCATTGATATTTAAGATTCACAGGCTTTATTTAAAACTATTGTATTTTCTTATTAGAATTTCAAGCACATTTTGTTGCTTTGCTTGTGTCCTCTTGGTTTTATGTCCCAAAACAAACAAGCAAAAAATCATAAGAGGCACCATTGCTGACATATGTTGTTGAATACAATAAAATCTAAGAGACTGACCTGACTGCACAAGCAGTGAATATACTAACACAATTATCAGATGAGGTATCACTTTAAATTGTTTATTATGTTTGAGTGTTAATATACACATTCATACAATCTAATGTATAAGCTGAGTATTTTAGAGTCCTCTTGTACTATGGATGTTCTCTGTACTTGGACACCTTTTCATTGTCTTTCAGTATGGGAATAAGAAATAGGGGACCACAACCTTGGTTTTTCTTGACTACTGTGTGACAGAGCACTATTGCTGCTTTCACATGCTTTTTAAATCCATTCTCGTCTCTTTCATGTGTTGGTCATGTGTGCACCCTTTTATCCTCACCTTTTCTGAGATCTCCCTCCATTCCTCCAACTGCAGATTTGAGTAGTGCCTGTAGTGTGCTAGTTTTT